ACCCCCAAAGCAGCCCCCAGCCCAGCCCCCCCCCCAGGACCCCCAGAGGAGGCTGACCGTGCGGCGAGTAGACGCGCAGGTTGATGGGGATGGGGGAGATGCCCTTGTTGGTGCCCGTCACCCGGTCGGTCTCCGCTTCGATCTCCTGCCGCACCTCATCGAAATCCGTGAACTTCTTGGATTTGCAGTGCAAGAACTCGGCATATTCTGAGATAACGGGGAGGAACGGGATGTTTTTTTTGGGGGGGGGGTCCGGCCCAGAGCTGCACTGGGGGCAGCACGGAGCAGTGGGAGAAGGGGGGGAGGATTTGAGGAGCGGCTGCCGGGAGGTGTTTGTGGGGGGGTCACAAACCCGCTGTGCTCAGAGCCCCACCCTCAGTCATGGAGCGTGGGGAGAACCCAAATACCCACAGAGGACTTCCCTGTCATTAGGGTAATTAAGGTGTTGTGGGGATAATTGGGCACTGCGGAGCAGAGGGGCGCCCACCTCCACCCTTCCCTTCTCATTCCATAAGTTCAGGATTTAACGTCCCAGGGAAGGACAGACGGACCCTCACGGGGGCTCTCCCACTAACGGTGCCCTCACCCCGAGGTTTGCTCCCCACAGCTCAAACCCCACTGCGGGGTGGTCACCCAACCGAAGCAGAATTTGGGGCCAAATGCCCCCGGATGGGGTAAAGGCTGCCTGCAGAAGGGCCGTACCCGTCTTGGAGAAGATGAGCTGCAGGATGAGCGGCCGCCGGGTGACGATGCCGGAGCCACGGGGCAGGAAATCCCTGCAGGGATGGAAGGACACGGGGTGAGGTCGGCACAGCGATCCCACAGCAGCTTTATGAGGAGGAGGAGAGGTGCTTTATGGCCCCATCACACCCAGCTGCCCCGGCCTCGCTGTCCCCAGGCACGCAATGCCGGGCCGCTTCCTGCACAACCGGGCCGGCGGCTTTGGGAGCCAAGGAAGTGACCGGGGTGGCACCCGGCACAGCCTGGCACAGCACAGCATGGCACCCAGCACCCAGAACAGCAAGGCACCCAGCAAAGCCTGGCACAGCCCACTACCCAGCACAGCACCCAGTAGAGTCCAGCGCCCAGCACGGCACCCTGCAAAGCCTGGCAGAACCCAGCACTCAGCACAGCACCCAGTAGAGCCCAGCACCCAGCACAGCACAGCATAGCACCCAGCATGGCACCCTGCAAAGCCTGGCAGAACCCAGCACCCAGTAGAGCCCAGCACAGCATAGCACCCAGCATGGCACCCTGCAAAGCCTGGCAGAGCCCAGCACCCAGCACAGCATCCAGCAGAGCACCCAGCAAAGCCTGGCAGAGCCCAGCCCCCAGCAGAGCACCCAGCCCAGCACCCAGCTCAGCCCAGCCCAGCACCCAGCAGAGCACCCAGCAAAGCCTGGCAGAGCCCAGCCCCCAGCAGANAGTAGAGCCCAACACCCAGCACCCAGCCCTGTATGGCCTGGCACCGCCCAGCCCAGCCCCCAGCCCAGCACCCAGCAAAGCCTGGCAGAGCCCAGCACCCAGTAGAGCTCAACACCCAGCACAGCCCAGCCCAGCCCAACCCAGGCCAGCACTCAGCAGAGCACCCAGCACAGCCCAGCCCAGCACCCAGCAGAGCCCAGCACCCAGCAGAGCCCAGCACCCAGCAGAGCCCAGCACCCTGCCCAGCACGGCCTGGCACTGCCCAGCACGGCCTGGCACTGCCCAGCAGAGCCCAGCACAGCACCCAGCACAGCCCAGCCCAGCATGGCACCCAGCACAGCCTGGCAGAGCCCAGCACAGCCCAGCACCCAGCAGAGCCCGGCACAGCATGGCACCCAGCATGGCACCCAGCATGGCCTGGCAGAGCCAAGCACCCAGCAGAGCCCAGGCCAGCACCCAGCAGAGCCCAGCACCCAGCCTGGCCTCGTATGCCCTGAGCTGGGAGCCCGGCACCGAGCCCAGCGCTCCGGCTGTGGCCTCACTGGGAGGAGCAGCACCTCCCTGCCCGGCTGCTGCGCTCTGGGTGACGCAGCCCAGGGCCCCATTGGCCCCCTTGGCCACCAGGGCACCCTGCTGCCTCGCGGTCGGCCACCGGGCGACCAGTGGGAACCATTGGGCACCTCGGCCATAAGCACGCCCCGCTGCCTCGTGCTCAACATCTGCCCAGCTGTGCCCAAGCACTGGCCACCAGGACACCGCTGGCCCTCTTGGCCACCAGGGCCCCATTGCCTCGTGCTGACGGAATTCCGCCCCCCAAAGCGCCCGGAATCCGGGGAGAAGCTCACTGAATCCTACTCCGAGAAACCCCAAAATTCAGACCCCCAGACTCCCAGACTCCCACCCCCAGCCTTCGACTCCGCACAACACCGCAATTCCGGCAGATCCCCCCGCAATTCCAGCCCCCGGGATCCCCCCGCCCCACCCAGCACCCGGATCCCGAAGATCCCATTTCCCATAAAGCCCCATTGAGGCCGTGCTCCCACAATGGCCCCATTGTCAGCGCTGCTCTCCGTGCCCGGCTCCAGGGCCGCCCCTACAGCAGCTGTGGGGCAGCGCGCAGCGCTCCATGCCTGCTGCTCCTCGGGCTCTCCTCCCATTCCCAGTCCCCCATCCCATCCCTCTCCTCCCATTCCCAACCCCATCCATCTGTCCTTATCCCAATCCCCCACCCCAATTCCTCTCTTCTCACCCCAATCCCCCATCCCATCCCTCTCCTCCCATTCCCAACCCCATCCCTCTCCTCCCATTCCCAATCCCATCCCTCCCTTCTCACCCCAATCCCAT